CCAAGGGCAAGTTTTGGATTTGCAGAGACTGTTAGGTCTGAAGTGCTTAAAATATTCAGAGACTTTTTGTTATATTCTGTGCTAATAGGAATATATATTTGAAAAACAAAGTGGATAAAATAAGTAAAGGTTTATTGTAAAAAAAACCCCAAAAAACAGTACAATAAGAATAAAGGTAACAGTTATGCACAAGGTTGTCGCAAGTCAATCCACTAGCGAGTGCTACTATTGGAAGGTCGGTAGTTCTTGTGTAAGTTTGAGTCATACTCAACAGACCCCATCTAGTTCCCATAGTCCGTTGACTTATAGGTAGTTACTACCTATAAGTATCTGTAAGTCAATGGACGATGGGGACTAGCTATATTGGTAGTTACTAACTATAGTGTAGTCACTCATGGGGGTGACAGGTTATTCCATTACATCACTTTTATATTTCTTTTAATAATTGATGAATAAATTTAATAATTGATGGTGGAAAAGATTTTAAACTGTCTTCAAAAATGATGATGAAAATAATCTTCTGTGTTAAATGTGTGTGTTGTTAATTTTAACATTACTTGCTTCCAAAATAATAGAAATATTTACCAGCAAAATAGCTTGGGGGTTTATTTTACAGAGACTGGTAAAATAAACTTAAAAGCATATTTGTTTATTTCACCAAGATGGGGAAAATTTTTTTTTTTTTTTTTTTTTTTACAAAAAAAAAAAAAAAAAAAAAAAAAAAATATAATTATAAAAAAATATAAAATTTTAATACAGACATTGAACACCATGATTTCAGTGGTCTTTATTCTTTACTTTTGCAGTGTGTGCATTATTACATTGTTAATTACTATATCTGTATACATCATATTGCCTTCTGTATGTATTTACTACATTGATTTTTGTAGGTATTTATTATATTGTATTGATTATTTACATTTCAAGTTTTATCTTTATTTCATGATTAATAAAACTTTTTAACTACATTCCAGTTTTCTTTTCGATCAGTGAGTGAAATGGTATATTCTGTCTTTTTTTTTTTTTTTAACTTCCCTCAATGCAATTCTAAAGTGCAACTCAAGGTAGAGTGATACTGAATAAAGTTGTTGTTTGAGCATAAAAGGAAGAAGTGCAGCTTATAAGGATATATAGGAAAGATAACGATTAACCCAAGACTTTATGAGGTTAAGATCGTAATGAAAGCATCCTCTCAGTAGTCTGTACCACAAAGTAATGGTTGTTGGAAAGAATTTTTTTATTCAAAAATTTATAAAAAAAAAATGACAAAATTATCAAGATATATAAACTAACTACGATGCAATATTCCTTTACTATTTTATAAATAACTATGAAAATAAATTTTTATTCATAATTTTATAAAAATATCTATGAGCTATTGTTGTCAATTTCCAAGAATAAAAAAAAAAAAAAAATGGATAAATCCACTTTCATGTGTTTAGGTTTTATAAAAATTCTAATCATTGCTTTTTAAAACAATAAATATTACTGAAGTAATCAAAAGTTTGTGGATGTTGTGAGCTGGTCGGTTTTGTGTGTATTTTTTTGGTGAAGGTGAGTGTTCAATATATAAACAAAATAAAAGAAGCATACAAAAAGACTTGTTTATGCTATGGACATTTATTTCTTTTATGTTGACTGCATTGAAACAAAGTTAAATGTCTCTAGAGTATGTTCATTTTCCTTTTGGTTCTGAAATGATTTATAGGAAGTAAGGGTAAGAATGGTTAATGATGGCCGAGTTCATGCTGAGTTGGGATGGCCAAATCTATTTCCAGAGTAGGGCTGCTGAAAACATCCAAATGATCTCAATCTCATTGGAAAGTGGAAAAAGAAAGATTCTGTCCTTTCTGGAAATTGGAATAATAAAATCACATGTGACCAGAAACCCTTTTGCATTATAAGAAAATGAATTTATATTTTTTATTCTTTATTATTTTGTTTATTGTTTTTATTTCATTAGTGTCAAGAGAATAACTGTCTTTTGACAGTTTTTTTGGAAATGTTTAACCTTTGTAGGTTAAACATTTCTAAAAAATGTTCACTCCTCAGCTTCTAAAATTGACAAATAAGATCCTATTCACAATTAGGGAATCTTATGTGGTTTAACATAGCAAATTTCTATTTTTACTAAGTCACGAGAAGAATTTCCACCATAGACATAGATAATTCATCTATTTCTGTAAAGTAGTAATGTAGAAAAGTGTATATACAAAACATGTGAAGATGGTAAAAAGTTCTTAGCGTGATAAAGAAGCTTTTCCCCCAAAATAAAAAAAAAAACATGTATATATCTGGTATTTCGTTTGAAGTTTGGAAAATGGCACCCATTCATGACATGCATATATGTGGATAAACAAAGCCATATATTAAATTATAAAGGATTAAAATTAACTTTTATAAAAATGTAATTTGGAAAATTGACCTTAACAAATATCATTGTTGTACAGTGGGCTTGCAGAATGGAGCCAAACAGATATTTTTAGTTTTTGAACCCTCTAAATGATTTTCAGCTCAATTGTGGAAGTGTATTAATGTTATTTATAATTAAGAGAAAGATTAAAACAAAGCTTTCACATTTCTAATTAAATAAATAAAGGTCTTGGGTCAACAAACCTTGGTTTGGAGGGAAGAGCAAAAATTCTCCTAAAGTGATTAAATGTTGCATTTAACTCCTTTAGACTTCTTGTGGGTGGTCAGTGCCAAAAATGGATTCAGCAGCCCCAAAACAGAAATGGAGGTCGAGATCATGATTTTCTGATAAATACAAAGAAAATACTGTCAAAAGAGGATAACAACCAATTTAATGCATGAAAAAAACTGAGTCTATTTAATGTTATATCTTATGTTAACTAAAGAGTTAATTTTAAGTAAAATAATAGTTCAGGTTTTGTAATTGCAGAACATCTAATCAATAATCCAATTTGCGCTTCATCTTTTAATAAATTTCTTTTTACAGTTGACAGCCAAGGACCTTCAGATTATTTGGACTCTGTATATTAAGTCTAAGCAACCGTCTCTCTATAAGCAGTTTTCGTGCAATATGTATATGATTCACAGTGCTTATTTTCTGATAGTATTCTTTTCTTTCTTTTTTTTAGTCATTGCACACATACGTTTTCAGGGGGTGAAATTCTAGATTGATGCCATGGCCACCCTCAGAGCCCATATGAAAATCTAGCAATGGTTACACTTCTAAGAAAATTCCTGAAAATCTAAGAAAGTCTAACTTATATGAATAGAAAGTTTGCTTTTTTTTTTCTTTTTAAATTTCAGAGTGCAGGGACTAGCTTTCCATCTTATGAATCATCATTACTTTTTGCATGAATACATTAAAAAAAAAAGTTTCTTTCAAGCAGTTGAGAATATGTCTACTGTATAATTGGAACTCATGCTTAATCTACATACAGAAACAATCAAGCATTTAAAGAACATAAAAAAGCTCTTGAGTAGCAAATTAAAGATGCAGAATGAGACATGCAAATGAACCACATGTCAACATGGGATAGGGCAGGTCTGAGATCAAAGTGATCTTCATTGATCCTCTGCTGTGCTGGAAGTCTTGGAAGACTGAGGAGGGTGTTGTATAATTATACTAGTACTCTTTTTCTTACTTCAAATTGAATCTGGGAAGTGTTTTAACTAAGAGTGGAAAACATGATACCAAATGTGCATTGTAATCATGAAAGATGTATTCCAAAAGCTAAGCCAAATATTAAGAAACAGGAAAATATGTCTATATTTCCAAGTTGAGATATTGTAATCATTTATACTATTTATATCGAATGTGGTAACAGAGATGAGGACAATGATCTGAACAATGTAAATAGTGTAAATAGAAACAGGAAAAGTTCAGCACTCATCTTTGTTTCTAAGTAAATTTCTTACAAGAGAATTGACATTGTAAAACAGTTCAGAACTCTTTGTTTTTATGTAATATTAATTCTCTTGTATGAGAGTGAAGGCTGGACAATTTCCTCACAGATGAAAACTGGGGGCAACAAATGTGATTCTACAGAATCAGGGCTGGCACATTCTATTTCTGGACCCCACAACCAGAGACACTGAATAGTGCCTCATGACCCTTGCTATCTTATTAACATTTGCTTTTTTTTTTAAAACTACATTTACATATGTTATAAATTAAACACAACTGTCTATTAAAGGATGAAAAAGTTTTGCAGATTTTGAAGTCATTCTGGATTCTTTGTTTTTTCTGTTTCTTTTTTTTCACCCAAATCTGTCAATTTTTTTGCTCATGCTAAGTCTTGAAAAAACACCATATAGAATTTACTATTTTTTATCCATAATGTTGAAGGTTTTAAAATTATTCAACTTTTTAACAAGAAAAATCTCAAATTGATGTTAAAAATTACCATAAACATTGATTTATTTAATATGGAATGATCTATTATGACATGTCTAATTTGTATTTAGATTCAATGTACTTTTTTTTCAATTTTTCTAGATGAATTGATCACCTATATTACATATAATCCATTATTGTAAATAACTATGCTACAATAAAATTTTTACTATCAATACTGCCTTATGAAAATTGATATGTAGTAGAAGGGGGGGGGGGCTCTGTATCATAGATTCAGTGGGGAAGGGGCACTTGCCCCAATCTTGTACAGAAGGATGTTGAGAATACTATGGATGGAGTGGCACATAAGCAACAAAGAAGTCTTAAGGAAAATGGAAACAAAAAAAAAGACACTTAAAATCAGATCGAGACAGCTGAAATCTCTTGGAGACAAAGAGGGCTTGAAGAATTTGACATTCACAGGACATAGCAAAAGCAAAAGGAACAAGGGGAAGCAGAAATTAACCTATCTTAACCAGCTTGTGGAAATGGGAGCAGTTGTAGGGATTGCAAAACGCAAAATGTTATTAAGAGCTACAAGGAATAGGAAATTGTGGAGAGCCATGACCATTCATAACCTGAATTCTCACACCTACTTCAAAAAACTTTGAGCAACCAATACTACCAAATTGGCTTATGGTCAAATCATGCTGAAAGCACTGGTTCTCATTTGATCATCAAAGTTAAGCAGTATTAAGCCTGATCAATACTTAGACAGGGAACCACTTGGGAACACCTGGCTAATATAAGAAACCTACAATCTGAAATATGTTTTGGCTTTTAAATAACCCACAAATGTTGATAAGCCGTAAAAACAATAAACAAACAAATAAACAAAAAAATAAACAAAAAAAAACAAAAAAAAACAATCAAAATATTCCCAAATTGACTTGCTCATTGTAATAAAAGATTGTACATGTTTGATAATGAGTTACAGATGATTAAAAAAAAAAAAAAAAATTCGTTTGGCAATCTCCTGTTGTGTCCTTGTTCATATCTTGAAAATTTAGCAAATGAAATCCTTTCAAAAGATGACTGTGCCAAAACTTCAAGCATCTGTTAGTTTCAGTTGCTCATTTCTTTCTTTATTGAATGTTGACTAGTTTAAGAAATGTCTGATCTGCTATCTCAATCCATGTGATATCAATATCATATTGCTTTCCTTGTGCCAATTTGAGCCCACTTTGCTATGTCTGCTATTTTGCAATAACGATTTCTTTTAATTTCCCATTTCATTGCAACATATTGACGTTATAAGGCTTAGTTCAACCTGAACAAGACATGGTAGCTTTCCTTTATGAATTGTATGATCACATGGTATGCAGTTAAAGATGGAATTCCCAATTGTGATGCTATTTGACACAGATTCACTTCACCTCTGGACTAACCAGCAATTTGTCTTTGAAAATTGATCATTTCAGTGGGTTATAAGGCATTGTGCATTTATTTATTTTGCATTTTAACAGCAAATTGAGTAATTATTAATAATTCTATATTTTATTAAATGTCTATACTGTTTAAAATAATAGGAACTGCTTTTCTGTATACAGCTAAGCTAATCTTGTGTATAGATGAATTTGATTTAAAGAAATCTTCAAGATATGTGCCTCATGTACAAGTTAGTCCCTATTCTTGAGATGAATAGAACAATAAATTAACAGATTGTGTGATATTTTTATGGCTTAAAAACATTCCAGGAAGCTCACTAAAAGTCCAGATCTGATAAAAAGTGTGTTTTCCTGAAGCACAGAGAACCAAAAGCAAAATATCTTTTTTCATTTGCCATGTTCCTTCAGGATGTAGGTGATCATGACCCTCCACATCTTTCTGTCCCTTGTAGCTCATAAGTTTTGTCTTTGTTATTTCTCCTAAACTCCATTATACCATCCATTTACTCAGGCTCATCAAGTATGTTATATGCTGCTTTCCCCTGTCCCTCAATCCATCCTGTGAGTATCAGATTTTCCAAGTCCTCCTTCAATACATGCCCCAGAAATTTCAACTACCTCTTCCTGATAAGTGTAAGTTTCTTTTTTGTTTCCATTTTCTCTAAAACTTAGTCATTGCTCAACATGTTCAGTCCATGGTATCCTCAGCATTTTTATGTAGAACCACATTTCTGTTGCTTCAAGTCATTTCTTCATCTTTGAGGAGATTGCCATACAGGAGCTAATTGTTACTTTGTATTGAAATGTAAGTTTCAGAAAAGAAATTTATTATATATTTCTATTCAAGTTTTTATTTAAGTCAGTTTCAATATTATAATACAGTTATCCACCTCCACAACTTTTTTTTTTCCATTTGAAAGTAAATGCTGGTCTTTGTCCTTATCATGGATTTCTTTATTTTGAATTTTATTCATGATCTGTTCTGTCAAAAAAAGAAACACTTGGTCTTAAAAACAGGTATATATATTTTCATAAAAGCAAAGAAATATACATCATTCAAAGATATAAAATAATTACCATTTATTTTTCAATACAAAGGAAAACATATCTTAAGTTTTTGCCAACATGAACACAGTAATAAATATATATCATTGAAGAAAAATCTGCCACAAATTCAGCTGAAAATAAACTAAGGAAAAATACTGAATACAAAATAATTCAGTACTCAGCAAAATAAAAAGTTTTGCCATAGCAGTTGCATTATGAAACAAGTTATAAATAGATAAGAATTTTATAAAATAACTTGATAAAAATGGAATAAAATCACAATAATGAATTTTTAATATTTGAACTTGACTGAATTTGATTCATAAAAGTTTGACACAAGCAACATTAAAAGAATATTGTGAAAAATTGATCTTACATTAGCAATAATAAGACAATGATTTGATTTCAGATTTATAAAAAGATCACAGAAAATTCAATATCAAAATGAGGGCTACATTTTTTCCACTTGAAAAAATTAATGCCTAAATTACTCAGTGTCACTTTTTGGTCTAATAAAATAAATCAAATTTAAAATAATGAATAATTAAAATAAAAATAAATAAATTATGCAAATGAATGAAAAAGTGGAAAAATTCCATGTTTCATCCTCTAGAACAGTGTTTCTTAACTGGTGGGCCCAAGCACACCAATGTGCTCTGAAAGGTGTCCATGTGCACCCCAAGTTAACAAAAGAGTCATTTATAAATTATTTTTATATTGAAAAAAATCTTTATTTTTAAAAAGTTAGAGACACCAAACACACAGCTTCCATGTCTAAGTAAATTGATGTTTCAATTGATGATGGTTTATTAATGGAAAAGGAGTTGATCACTATATCTGCTGATCATGGCTTACATATCAAGTATAAGGAGATATCCATTGATCAATTTTGGATTTCCATTGAATAAGAATATCCTTCAACAGCTAGTAAGGCACTATTGCAATTTTCCACGTCATACCTCAGTGAATTACAATTTTCTGCATTTACTAACATTAAATGCAAAAATAAATCAAATATTGAATGTGTTGGTGAGGAAATAAGAATATGTTTATCACATATAAGACCTTCAACAATTGCCAAAGTACAGTTTTCACACAAGCATACTTAAGTATACAATATCTTAAAAATAATCTTTATTTCAGGAGACTTCTTTATTATTTTTCTATTTTCAAATTTAATGACTAATTTTTCCTTATTAAAATTTAAAATGTTCCCCAGAGTTTTAGATATTCTACAAGTGTGTCCTGAAGTAAAATTGCTTGAGAAACACTAGAAAAACTTCATTGGACTAAAAGTAATGTTTTACTTTTGGGATTTTATGTGTAGAAGGGGGAGATATAAGCACAAATGTTGACTATAATTATATTCTGAGGGGAAATACTGAATTTTAAATTTTTGAGTTAATTTTTATTTTAGACATGTCTGTACAGTCTAACCAATCTCATATTGTTTCCTGAATCTTTTGTCTTTAAGTATCCCTGATTGTGTTAAAAGAAGATCTGCCAAGAAATGTGAAATGTAAGAACCCGAACACAAATTTACTGTGGATGATTTAGCAATCAGCTAACGTTCTAGATACTTTTGCTTTAGAAAATTGCTTTCTCTTTAAATTAAAATAGCATTTTTTTTATAATTATGATAAACAAAATTATCTTTCCCTCCTAAACATATAATTCCATCAATAACAACATTACTTTAGTCTAATGAAAACATTCTATCTATATGACAAAATGTGTTACACAGAATTTTTCCACTTTGTCATTTATCTAACCTTGTTCTGATATGTAAAAGTTTAAACATCATTTACTCCCAAAATAAATTAATTAAATAAATAAAATAACCAAATTAAATCATATTGAACAAATTTAGCTTGCAACAGGGAAAAAAAAGAACAGTTTTTTTAAGATCATTTTACGCATTGGGACTGCAAGTTTTATCTAAATTTTTTTTACTATTTTTTTTTTTTTTACTTCTGATGGCTACAAGAAATGGATTCCATTTCTAGTTTTAAAGTCAGAGTTGCCAGTACATGTTAAAAATTAATGATAATTTGTTGCATTGGGTGTTTACTATGTCACCTCTTTTACATCCTGACAAGTCAATTGTATAGACTTGCATCAGATAGCAAATTTTTTAGCTCAAATTCCTGTTTAAAAACATCTTTAACTCCAACTGCAGAATGAAGCTCTCTATTTTCTAAGTGCTATAAACAACAAAATAATTGCTACTTATTATTGCTATTGGAGAAGAGATATGAAAACAAATAAAGTAGTTTGTATAATGTTCATAAATTATTTTCTAGTTTCTCATCAGCAGCAAAATATATTCAAAAGAGTTGATACATATACATTTTTGTGTGGCAAGAACATAATTTTTGGAAAAGATTTACAAGTAAGTCTCTCAAGGAGTTTGGCAAGATAATAAAAATGTATTCTAATTAGTTGGGTAAAAGTGAATCAATCCTACTACTTGGGGTTTTGCACCGTTTCTCAAAAACAATATGATTTCATTGTCTGTATCCTTATTCTCAACATTGACTGCAATGCTAAGGCCCAGTGACAGTTGTAATTAAGGATAGAGCCATGAAAAATAACAAGGTATATACCATTTTGTCACTAATAGTATTTGTATACTAGAATATTTATTTATTAAATTGTAATGTTTCAAGCATTTATTGTGTACAATTTTGAGAATAAAGAAGAAAAATAAGCAGATAAGCTTTATTCTTATCCCAATCACATATTTTAAAATTACGTTTCTCTCCAACCCTCTTCACCCTTGGCTCTAACATTTCGAAGTATAGGAAGGTTAAACATGGAATTAATACTATTATAATTCTGATTCTCTGTTAGTTACCAAGTTCACATATGTTTCATGATCTGCCATTACCTTAGACAAATAATGAACCATTCCGTTTTGATTGTGGAAAAAGACGAAAGAAAAAGATAAATCAGAGACATTGTTTGGTTTTAGTGAGAAAAAGAAAGCATACATAATAAGAAAGGAAAAAAAAGAAGCTAGAATGGGGTTTTTGTGTTGTTTCTCCAGACTATAAGACAACATATGATTTCATTATCTGTACTTTTATTCTCCTCATTGATTGCAATTCTGTAATTAAGGATAGAGCCATGAAAAATAGCAAGGTATATATTATTTCCTCACTAATAATGCTTTCATGTTTAATGTCTGCTATGCAAACTGAATTCCAATCAGGTTTGTTACATTCATTTATGTACAATACCCTTAAAACCTAACCCAGCTATGGGTTAAAAAGTAGGACTTGTATCTGGAAAAATTGTTGTTA